AATGAGTGCAAGAATCTGTTTTGTTCAATCTGTATGACAAGTGAATGGAGGACGAGGTAAAGGCAATTTTCAGCATGTGAACACGCATTTCAATACTGATTCCGTTGGGAGCACTATCTGGTTGAAGCGGGTATGAAATCTGTTCGGCTCAACGCCTCATTCTCCGTCACGTCCCAACCAAAGAGCGTGCCGACGAAAAGGCTCCGATTTCTGCGAGGCCCCAATTCGCTCGCACCCCCAAACGGTTACATCGGGAGATGTGTTCGGGGAGGATTCGCGGAGTGCGCCTCGCCTCCCAGGCCTTTTCCACCCCCATTCTACAGGAAGCCGAAATTGTCCAACCAGCTGTGAGACATTTCTCAAACCATAATCAATCACCCCCCCCGCATCGCGAATCCCCGCTGCCCAGCGGTATTTGCGCTTCAGCCTTGGAATTTTCGGAGAGCGCGTCTTTGGCCCGTCATGATCGAGAGGCGCTTCATCTCAGTACAAGAGACTTCAGTAGTAGCCGTTCCCAAGCAGACATAGTTTGTACCGTCTTGTCCTGTCAGACTTCATTCATCATTGCTCCAACGAAGACGCGCATCCGAGTCGGCGAGCTGTGGCCTTTCTACATTTGTCTCTCACTGGTGATCGCACTGTTCCCTTTTTGGAACGAGTAGTTTAGTAGCTCAGTTATTGCGACATTTGAGGGTAGAAATCACCAAATAAGTAACGATAAGTAAGATAGCTTCAATCTAACGATCGTGTTTTGCGCATCAACTGTGACTGCTTACGTGGTAGGTCATATATACTTCCAAATAGCCACCGCTGGCAGCAGCACCAGCAGCGTCGACCTCTCAGTTCCCAATGGACGATGCGCGCATCAGCATCGTCGCGGGGTTCATCGCAGGTGTCGCAGAGGTCCTCGTGGGGTATCCGTTCGACACGGTGAAGACACGAATGCAGTCGCAGGATCACGCGGAGTCGCCACTGTTTCCAGCTCACCGAGACAGCAACAGCCATGGCTGCTCGGGTCAACACCGAGCGGCTAACAATCAGCATTACAGCTCTCCGTGGAGCTGCGCGGTCGCGACGTACAGAGCCGAAGGAATTGGTGGCTTCTACCGCGGTATTGCGGCTCCGATGCTACAAGTAAGCCCGAAATCGCCATTCATTGTGCTCGTGTCCGTCCAGCCTATGCTCGGGCCCTCGTCGCCGGAATGCAGGACTGAATGCAGCTCTGTCAACCCGAATCATCCCTGAGCCAAAATTCTCGTTTGACACGTTTCGATCGTGCAGGAAGCGGTGGGTGTGGCTCTTCTTTTCGGGACGCGTGATTGGCTCCGAACGGCAATAGGTGCTGATATCAGCAGACCAGGGCTATTTATCCTAGCCTGCTCCATCATCGGCCTGTTAGAGTCTCTGATATACTGCCCCCTAGATCATCTAAAGACCCGCATTCAGGTCCGCGGACAACGACTGAAGCACCAAATACTGCATTCGTCTACCGCTCCCTCTCTCCCGCCTCTGGATTCCTCCAAGCATTCGTCTAACAATACGAAGACTCCCTTGACTAGCGCTGGGTCGATAGCAGGGATGGGACACGAAGGAGAATGCGTATCACTCTCGCTAACGCCGGCCACGGCGTACTGCATAGGCGTAGGTCCGGGTCTGTTGGCGTCGAAGGAATCGCACGGGGACTTACCCCCTCTAGGCGTGACCATGGGCGTGGTGATGGGGAAGGACATGCACGGCGAGCTGATGGGTATCTTCAGCGCTGCTCGCAGCGTTATCCGGGCGAGGGGAGTTCTGGGATTGTACCTGGGGTTCGTCCTCCAGGCGTGCAAGGAGATGCTGGGCAACGTCGCCTTGTTCGCCACATATGATGTCGCTCTCGCGCTCTTCAGTGGCACCAGTCTCGTGCCTGGGGGGGGTGCGCATGGAGCACACATGCACGCCGGCCAATCGTGGATGGCGATCTGGCCTGCAGGAAGCCTTGCGGGAATGGCCTATTATCTGGTAAGCACATGTGAGGAAGGAGGTGAAGAAAATGAGAATGCATTCAACCCTCCAGACTTGTCATCATACAGAGAATTTAAAACATCTTTTGAATGTCCATTCTGCCCCTCCTTTCCAGATTGGCTTCCCTTTTGACACGATCAAGACTCGCCTACAGACTGACTCCCTCACGCACCCTCGCTATCGCGGCTCCCTGCACTGCGCATGGAACGTGCTGCGCCATGAGGCATCGTTCTCCGACCTCTATAGAGGCGTCTCTGCTTGCCTCGCTCGAGCCATTCCGGGTTGTGCTGTGCAATTTTTTGTCTTCGAGGCTGCTCACCAGTTTATCTCGCAGCTGGGCTCGCACATAGTCCCCAGTATACAGCCCGACAGCAGACTAGGACTAGGTGGCTTCGCCTCTGTTGGAGATACAATAGGAGTGGGCCAGGAGAAGTTGTGGGACTTGCTTGCTGGGTGGAGTTAATAGGCAGTGGTTATGCTATAGACTTTGCATGCTAGGTGCACCTTGGTGCACCCTTATTTGCCGGAATAATCTTTAAATCAATACACCGCTCAGGTCAGGCTGCTTACATTAGAGGATAATTCGGAACATACCAGAAGCTTTATTGTGTTAGTATCAGCAGCATCAAGTGCACTAATGGAATCTACAATGTACGGACAAAACAAAATAATGAACTAATTAACATGTATAATTCAGTGCATCTCACTGTCCGTTTGAGATGCATCAAAGCATTGTACACCTTCTTTCGCGCTAGTAGAGCATCTGGTTGCAGAACGTACACGAGTTGTAGAACGTCACCACGTTCAAAACAGTCTTGTCACCAACTGTATAAGCACAATGCGAAGAATGCGGTTCGGTAAGGTAATGCACGTTACAAACAGCTTTGTCAGCGTTTTGATTAGGTTGGGTGAGGTTTACAGCGATAACGGAAATATTACGCCCTCCAGCCAGTTTGTCACGTGGTTCGGCTTTTTCCCCCAGGTTGCTCGGAACGTTTTGTGGCACCTGACCGCATGAGACAACTACTGTAGCGACGAGTCGCGCTAGGTGAAAAGGTTGAGAAATAGGGTGTATTTCATATGTTTCAGGAGGAAGAACACAACAGTGGGTTTCAATTTGCGGGTGCATCTCACTGTATCTCTGTGGTCGTCGGGTCACAAGTAAATTTCTACGGCTGCCCAAAGGAATCTTTGGTGTGCGACACAGCAATCTTTGTTCCTCACAGAAGTTTACGAGCGGAACCGACAAATGATGGCTGTAAACTTGCAGTCGCGCTGGACTGATGACGTGTAGGTCTCCTGCTGGTGGATGACCCTATCAGAGTTGTGTGCTAGCTGCTGGCTGACGTGCCTCGTCTTGGCCCTGCGGTAGACAATCCATGCAACTGGGATTTCTTGCCATCCAGACTATTCGTCTGTCTCTTCCGTTCGTGAGTTCCTTCCATTCTACGTTCTGCCAGATTGTTCTGGTTCTTGGTGTGCCCCTGCGAGAATGTTCCACCACAATTTGAAATTGCAGGTTGAAAGAGGCGGGGCTCAGATATGTAAACACAAGTAATGAAAATGCATTCCTCTCTCGCCTTACTTTTCACACCGTGTACCTGAGGCATTCTCACACTCATGCTGTTCAGTGAAATGCACCACATGCCAAGAGGAAGTGCTTGGCAAGAAACTTCTTTATGATTACCTGCCCGCGTATTTCGTCACGTGTGGTGATAGTTGGTCTGGAATGGAAGCGAAGAGAAACGACCTGATTTTCACTTGCCCGAAGTTACCCTGCCTCGATACAAGTGCTTCTGTTCTATTTTACTGTACACAAACTCGTTAACTAACCCATACAGCTGGCCTTCCCCACCCACCCCGCATGTCCCTTCCAGTCCCTCCCACCTCCCCCCGCGCCTGGTTTGCTCGAGGCCTCATTCAAGCCCAGCTGTCGGCCATGGAAACAGACTTCCATCATAATTCAACAGACCTCCTTGGAAACGCCAATGGCTGTTCATGAAGTCATGACGCCTGCCGCTGTAACTTGTTCTCCCTCACCCCTCGCGGCTTGCTGCTTTTTCTGGCTTCTTGCTGAATCTCAGCCTAGCCCCTCAGAGCCAATGACGATCGCTCGTCCTGGACTGTTACATATGCATTCCTCCCCTCGACTTCCCCCTAAACCACGTAAATGTATGCTGAGGATCTGATTCACTGACTGTAATTCAAGCTCAACCTCGAAGTTGGAGGAAACCCCAGCCCGACTTACGCCTTCGCTGTTGTGTGCTTTATTGGATGTCAAAATCCCAAGATCTCTCATATCCCGGTAGATGTGAAATTGGTCTGACGTCGCGCTTTTTCATACACCGTGTGATACGTAGTAACTAAAACGACGTTTCCGAGCGCCGGACGCTTTCTGATAATCCGACCGTTTCATTTCATATTTTAGATATCATGGATCTCATCGCATGTCGAACTCGCTATTTGTAGTACCAGCAATTTGATAGTGGATTTGAGCGACGTCAACTCCTTGGAGTGAACTTCAGTTCGAACGTGTTTACTGACATTCAGTAATTCTACTAATTCCTTGCGCGTCTAATATTGCGGTAGAGTAATCATGGAGTCTCAAGGCAATGCACCCGGATCGTTCGTACCGTCACACAGCCCCCTTATGCTTCCGCCGTCGTCGTCGGCCACAGCCAGCACTTTCGGCTCCGAACGTGTTAATTCCGCGTCAATGGAGGATGGGTTCCGGGGTAGTGGCAGCGGGGGTGATGCCGATGGCGGGGAGGACGAGCCGAGTCCGGCGTCCGGTGGGGTTCAACTCGAACGCGGAGCAGAGCCGGGGATAATAATGCTCGGCGGTCATCGCACGCGACCTAATTGGACGCCTCAGGTTGTGTTTTGTAGCCATCTTGAATGCAGAAATTTCCGTCATGCCGTTCATAGACTCATGTCGGTCTCAAACCTGATTCATGGGCGTGAGCTAAATACATGTCTTTCTTCCCTTTTAACAGGAGGATTTAATTCTTCTGCAGCACGTGGCGAAGCACGGGACCCGCAACTGGGGGTCGCTTCAGATCGGTGGTTTGCTGCCGATTCGCGATCAGAAGGCCTGCTGCAACCGATTTATCCTTCTGAAAAAGTGCGACGATTAATTTCATATAGTGTTTGCTCTCTCAGTTTTCATATAAGGAACTTTCGAAGTTTGGGTGAAGAGTAGATAAGTCGTTATAGTAGTAGTTTTTGAAGTACACCCACGAATTTCTCGAGGAATTGCTTCTATCGCGGATAACGTTATCCATTTCCCAGATTTCCAACCCCCGCAGCTTATCCTCATCTTTCTGCGTGTGCGTTTGCTCCCCCCAATCCGCGCGTTCCAGGCGTTGCATCAAGGACAAGCGCAGTCTGTCGCAGCTACTGCAGCGCGCAAAAGACGCCGTCATTCATGACGCAGCCAGGAATGTCAACGCAGCCGCAGCTGGAGCCGCCGGTTCTTCGTTTGTTGTCGGAGCCGCGCAAGCATCATCCTTCCACCATGCTTCTTCGGGATCGCCGCATGTCGCGGGTGGTTTCGCCGGATCGTCCTCAGCCCTTCACGCTGCTGCCGCGGCGCTCAACCCCCTTGAGGTGCTGCCGGTACGCCTTTACACGCTGGATCCTATTTTTCTTTTCGTGTCAACCGTCCCTTCCTTTCGTCGTTTTCTTATGCCGTCTTTAACTACCTTCCTGCGATGAAGGCGATCGTCCGTCGTTTCCTTCTTGTGCTATTGATTGCAGAGAGATGGTATTCTTAGTCGTGACGTGCCGGCTCTCACATGGAAAGCTATCGGCTGAACATCACTTGATAAGCATAACTGACGTTTTCCCCTACGGACTGTCTTGATTTTTTTCAGGCTCTAACTTCGCCCAGCATCGGCATCAACAGCCAATCACGGGTCTCCTTCAAAGGGGGTGGCGTCTTAGCTGACATTAGCCGGCCGTTTGTTCCTTCTGTACCGTCAACGTCAACAGCGACGTCGCTTCCCGAAAATGTCCTCCGTGCGACACTGCTGCGCTCAGCGTTGTCGTCGGCAGCAGTGGGTCCTCCAGACGCCTCCCAGCCACTGCAGCAGCAGCTGTTGCAGCAGCAGTTACTGCAGCAGCACTTGCTACAGCAGCAGCACCAACAGCAACAGCAGCAGCAGCATAGCTTTTCGCAACAGAGCGTGCAGCAGCAGTTGTTACAGCAGCAAGCAGCGCTGCGCCAGCTCGCTATGCAGCAGCAGCAGCAGCAGCAGCAGCATCGGCTGCAGGAGGCACAATCAGCTGCACTGATCCATCAGAAGCAGCTATTCTCGCTGTCCAGCTTCAACCAGGGATCCTTACAAGGGCTGGAGGGTCGGCAAGAGGCTCAGATGCAAGTGCAAGTGCAGATGCAAGCACCAGTGCAAATGCAGGCTGAGACTCGACTGTCCATGTTTCAGGGCCAGGCAAGAGAACAGCAGCAGCCACAGCTGCAGTCCGTGCAGCAGGCTCAACAGCAGCAGCAGGTTCAGGAGTTTTCTCAGAGTCTTCCGGTGGACGGGTTGCAGCTGGATGAGGCGCAACTGGCGTGGCTGAAGCAGGCGCACATAGAGGCCCAGCGGTTCACGCTCTCTCAAGTGCACGCGAGTAAAGGGGAAGGGCAGGGGCACGGGTTGCAAGGTGGACAGCAGGGAGGGCAGCAGGGGGGACAGCAGGGAGGGGGTAATAATGGTGAGGACGTGGGAAGGGGAGGGCAGGGTGCAGGTCATCAAAGAAGTGAATGTGCGAACGATGGGAGGGGGGACGTGGCACAGCAGGAAGAGTCGGGACTGCAAGGCGTGGATGCACACAAGCAGCAGCAGTTGCAGCAGCAGCAGCAGGGTGCGAGCATGTCCATGCAGCTAGCCAACTTGAGGTGAGCTCTTGTGCAGCTGAAATCCTATGCTTGAAATGCGCTTCCACCCACCCTCACTTCCCTGACATTCGCCTGCCCTTCGCCTGCCCGTCGCCTTCCCTTCCTTCCATTGCAGGTCGCAGGTGGGTCTCCAGCCGGGGTCGCTGCTCGCCCAAGCGCTCAAGCTCTCCCACCAGCCTTCCTTCGCAGCCGTCTCCAATCTCCCACTCTTCTCTAATTTCCGCTCTGCCGCCGCCCCTCACTCCTCCGCGCAACCCACCGAGCCCCATGCATCATCACCCCACGCAGCTACCCTGTCCTCTACCAGCACTGTAGCTGCTGCGGCCGCTGCAGCACCAGCAGGTGCTACAGTGTCAGTGCCCAACTCATCTAGCCCTGCCTGGAGCGAGCCGGCGTTCCCCACGGTGCAGTCTGGGGAGGTGACGGACCGCTTCTCTTCCTTCAGCGATTCGCAGTTCGCCTCTGCTGCTGAAATCGGTGCCACTTCGTCCACCGCTGCTGCTGGCATGATGGCGGCTGCTGCACCTGCAGGTCTAAATGCTGGTCACAGTGGTGCTGTTGGTAGTGGTTCTAGCGGTTTCGGTGGTAGTAATGTTGGTGGTGGCTTGAGCACTACTATTCCTGGGGGCAATGACAGTGGGAAACAAGGGGGCTCATTCACCACTGTGCTCCGTATGTCCTCAGCTGCTCTTCAGCACCAGCAACAGCAGCAGATGCTGCTGCGACAGCAGTGGAGTGGGCAGGCGGGTGGAGGGCAAGAGAGTGCAGCAGCCAGTGCAGAGGCCTCTGTGCATGTGTGGAGGCCACGGGAAGACACGAGCTGGTTTCAGCAGCTGGGGCAGTCAGGAGCACTTGATAAGCTTGCTGGAGGCATCGGTGGAGAGGGTGGAGAGGCTGAAACGTCTGCAGCAGCACCGGCTGCAGGAGGGGGAGCAGGAGCAGAAAATCACGTGTTTGAAGGGAGGGCTAGTGGGGAACGGGGAGGAGGAATGCTATTGCTGGCAGAGCCTGCGTCTGCTGATGTCAGCAGACTTGACGTACAGAGAGAGCATCAGCAGCTTCAGTCTGATGGCAAGAGGCATGACCATCTTGCGGATAGAAGCAATCCCCCTGTGTTGCAGGAGCAGCAGCAGAATGAGGCGCGTGGTGTGACTCATCAACTTGGCCAACATGCTTCCATGCTGGGTTTGCAGCAATCCCGCAGACCAGATGCAATCTTGGAAGCCCTCACATCGGGGTCACAGTCATGGGTGGGTCAGGCGGGGCGGTGGGTGGATGAGCATCAAATGCAGTGGAGGGCGCAGAAGGCAGGGGAAAATGCAGCGATGGGTGTGGGAATGGCTCAGGCGGAGCAAAATGCTACACATGCGGATAATCTGGCTGAGGCGGAAATCCTTCGAGCATTGCACGCAGAGATGGAGGTGGGTGTCTTTTCCCCAGGTTCGTTCTTGTTTGTTTGTTTTTGTCTTGGGTACCTGAATTTTTTTTTGTGCTGTTTTGCCTCTCGTTTCTGATGTTTTGCAGTCGTTGAGCGCTCTAATGGACTCTTCATCAGCACCGACCAGTTGAGGACTAAAGAGTCGTCGGATTGGTTGTGTGACGAGTGGCTGGATACCATGTACCATAGCTGCAGTGTTGGCGTTGCAATGATGTTAGCTTTGACGAATTGAAAGTAGCCAAATCTGTGTACATATGCTGGAGCCCACTGTGGGTCTTGGTGCTCCAATTCAGTAATTTGCTGACATAAAGTAACCCAATCTACTGTTTTGGTGATTTCAACCAAGTTGTTCAACAATGTATGACCTTTCATAACAAATCTGAACACAGTATTATCACGCCTCACACTCTGACACACGATCTTGCTATTCGCGCGCTGTGCTATGGACGGCGTGCTTGCCAACACACCGATTGCACCCTTCAAAGAGAGCCTTTGATTTCCGACCTGAATAGGGATTCCCTTATTTCTGTCTTACTCCCAAATTCAGTGCCAGCCTGCCTGTTTCTAGTAGTTCAGTGGTGCTCCTTGCGACATCGCTTCGCCTACCTGTACCTTTTCCTGTACCTTTACCTTGCGACATCGCTTCCGCTTGGCCTGTTAATCATATTATTCATGGCTCCTCCCCTGACGTCGTGTCAAGAACGTTAGGTCTATCGCTTACTCGGCGGAGCTGTTTGTAGATTCTGTGCGAGTAGCAGTAGTGAGAGTAGTTATTAGGGCGTCGGGGGTTATTGGAAACTAGGGTTGTATTGGGGGTATGGACTTCTTTAAAGCAGTACTGTTTCAGGACGATGAGGAGGAAGAGGCGACTCCTGAGACTGAAGAGGTTGAGGGTGACAATAATGAAGGCAAAGGCGAAAAGCCCGCAGACGAAACTGCTGAAGGGGTGCGTAGATTCTTTTCTAGTTTCCGCATAGTAAATTCCCATATGCGACGACATTAAGGCTGATACATTGATACTTTCTAGTCTCAGTAGATAAAACGCACTTACCACTGTAGTTCTAATGTTTTTAATGTTTTTGTTCACATTCCAGGGTGAGATTGAAGAGGAGGAGGAGACAGAGGAAGACCAGCCTTCAGCCTTGTGAGTACTCAGCTAACTTGTTTGGTCCGAGCCGGATGTCCCTATGTTTTTTTAGAATTCTCAAAAAACATACTTGTCTGGTCCAAGCCGGATGTCCCTACGGAAAAGCACTCGGTAGCACGGCTTTGTCGCCGTTTTCGAATTTCCTTCGTGTGCAACCTTAGTTTGCTTGCGGCGTCTTTGACGCTATGTTTCATTGACACGTGTCGTCCCCACATGCCATCCACTCAACAGCGGTACCTGGAATCTCGGCAGTCTGCTACAAACAATCGCCACCAAAGTAAGCCTTCCTCTACCGCGTTTCATTCCCAAGCCTCGTCTAACTCGAAATTTTCCTGCTTCCATGTGCTCATCACGCCGTCTGGCCTTCGCTGAACCGCGGGTGATTCTTCTGCATGCATGATTGTTCCTCGCCATGACAGCGTCTGCTGTCTTTCTACTTGTCCTTCCAAACCGCGTCCCTGCAACCCGTGACTGCTGTGCCTGTTGTGCCTTCCATGCCTACCATGTGTGCTGTGCCTGCCATGCGTGCCATGCGTGCCATGCCTGCCATGCGGGCCATGCCTGCCATGCGTGCCATGCGTGCCATGCGTGCCATGCCTGCCATGCGTACCATGCGTGCCATGCCTGCCATGCGTGCCATGCGTGCCATGCCTGCCATGCGTGCCATGCCTGCCATGCCTGCCATGCGTGCCATGCATGCCATGTGTGCCATGCGTGCTACATACATGTGAGAGCAGTCGGAGGAGGTGTTGCGGGAGTACAAGCAGGAGCTGCAGGAGTTCGGCGAGGGGCTCAAGAAGGAGACGGAGGAGCTCGTGGAAACCACTGCCACAACTGTCAGCGACCTGCCTTCCTCGCTCGAGTCCGGCGCCCAAGCGGCTCAGGTGAGAGCTGCGAAGTCGTGGCTGCTGCTTTGGTATCCTCCAGATGTGGTCCGACATGTTATCGCTTTTTTTGCACTGCCAGCTTGTTTCCTTGTCATTGTTCCGTCCACGTTGCATCCCTCCCTCTCCCCTCCTCCCTCCCTCCCTCCCTCCCTCCCTCCCTCCCTCCCTCCCTCCCTCCCTCCCTCCCTCCCTCCCTCCCTCCCTCCCTCCCTCCCTCCCTCCCCCCCTCCCCCCCTCCCTCCCTCCCTCCCTCCCTCCCTCCCTCCCTCCCTCCCTCCCTCCCTCCCTCCCTCCCTCCCTCCCTCCCTCCCTCCCTCCCTCCCTCCCTCCCCCCCTTCCCCTTCCTTTTTCCCTCCTTCCCTTCCTTTGCTTTCCCTCTTTCTCTCTCTTCTTCCTTCCGCTCTCCCTCCGTCCCTCCCTCCTTCGTTCCTCTCCCCCTCCCTCCCTCCTTCCCTTCTTGCTCCCTCTTCCTTCCACTCTCCCCCCGTCCCTTTTTTCTTTTCCTCATTGTCTCTCTATCTCCCCCCGTCATCCCCACCCGACCCGCCCATCCCCATTGCGTGGATCCCTCTCGTGGTTGCCATGAAGAGCTCACTGGAGGGTGTGGGCCACACAATCGAGGAGTTCGGTTCGTCTTTATGGAAAGGGTGAGTGTGGTGCGTGTGAATGCACGTGCAGTGCAAGACAAGGACTGGAAGTGACTCCTGACAATGTTCACTTCACTTGGCCTCTTGGCTTGTGTAAGAGATGTACATGGTTCTTTGCCTCTGCATCAGGCGCAGTTGCATTCGGTCCAAGGCTCTATGCAACAATTTTGGAGTAAAGACCACTTTTTGCGCCCACCCCACCTGCTGATCAATCGCCGTCCCTCCCTCGCCCCTCCCCACACCCCCATCCCTCTCTCGTTGTGCATGGCAGCACGACGGAGATTCTGGCATCAGTGAAGGAGGCGGTGGCGATGGTGGAGGAGGAGGTCGCCGCCAACGCTGCTGGCGCCCGCCCCCGCGCGCCCTCTGCTGCTGCTGGACTCGCCTCTGCCATCCCCAGAGGGTGAGAAAAAGGGGGAGGAAGGGAAGAGGTGATGGGGAGGAGGGGAAGGGGAGTGGGAAGGAGGATTGGATAGAGAGGGAGAAAGGGGAGTGGGGAAAGGAGTGAGCTAAAGGGGGAGGATGCGAGTGGCAGTAGGAACGTGGTGTTTGGAACTTTAGTTGTATTTACTCCCTTGGTGGGCACAGCACTCGTTTGTTGACCTTCCATTCCAGCAACGGCCTGGCTGCCCTCTCTGCTGCATCCGGCCTGCATCAGCCCCTAAACTTGTTTTCTCATGATGTCACCTGTCCTCGCCCCTGCTTCGTGTGTGCATGACAACTGGCCTTCTTCTTTTCGTTGCGGTCTGCGTTGCTGCTGCTGCTGCTGCTGCTGCCAATGGAAGCAGCAAGTACAGCCGCTATGAAGCACTGGTGAGCACTCAGCCGCAACCATCCCTCTCTCTCTGCTACGACCTGCCTGCCCTGGCCTCCCATCTTCTTCCCCCAGGCTGATGGTCGTTTTCACTGCTCCCTGGTCCCACCCCGTCACCAAGTTTTGTCATCTCTTTCCATCTTCTTGCCTCCCCCTACCTTCTCATTCCGTTACACTCTTCCCCCCCCAACCCCTCTTCACACCTCGTCATCCCTCCGTGCCGTGCGTGCAGGTGAGCGCCATGCAGAGGGACAGCAGCACGTACTGTGATGAGCCAGAGGACACTGAGGACTTTGCCAAGTGGATTGAAACCTTTGACCTCAAGAACAGGTGTGCAGTGCACGCACCCACCCACCCACCCGTTCATGCAACGTAACCTTCCATTATGCCTAGTGCTTCTGGCCTCCGTTCAGGCGACACCTGTGAGTCTTCCCGTTCTCGGGGATGAAGGGTGTGAATAGCGTTGCTGTGCTGCTGTCACTCGCGATGGCATCGCACGGTCGCTTATCTCTTGCTTGGTGATGAAGGTGTAGCGTATCACTTGCTGACGTGTGTGTGGGGTGGGGGGGGTGCAACAGGGAGGCAGACGTGGAGGCAGTGCTCAAGGACAACGCGTTCATGCAGGAGCTGCAGTCACGCATTGGTGAGTCGTGACATGTGCTTCGTGCTGTCCTGCCTCGTTCGTCTTCCGTCTTGTCATGAGCGGTCTCTTGTCTGTTTGTATTCTCATGCGTCGACCTCTCTCACTATTCCATCCTGGTCCCCCATGTGCACGGCAGTGCCGTTGATAGTGGAGAGGGAGACGTTCTGGACGCGCTACTTCTACCGCCTCTACCGCCTGCAGCAGGCCGAGGACGCCCGCGCTGACCTCGTCAAGAGTGAGCCCTCTGGATGCCGCGACACATCCCATGCGTGCAGTGCCTGTTTCAAATGCCTGGTGATGCTGTACATAACCCCGAGTTACATGAGTAGAGCACCCTGTGTCAAGAGCAAAGTGCAAAGTGTACCCTCTGACGTGCTTATTGTTTTGGAAATATGAGGTGCCTCCAGGTGCATCTCGCTCACATGGGCCCACCCACCGTCTTGCGCTCCTGCCCCTGCGTGGCTGCAGGGGCGACGACATCAGAGGAGGAGGACCTGAGCTGGGACGTGGACGTCGAGCAGCCATTGAATCACCCTCTGCCATGTGCCCACTGTCTTGCTCTCCTGCCCCTGCGTGGCTGCAGGAGCGACGACATCAGAGGAGGAGGACCTGAGCTGGGATGTGGATGACGATGCAGACGACGCTCAGAGCAGCCCTGCTGCTGCCCACCATGGCGCCGCGGGTAAAAGTGATGCTGCTGTTGCGGATGCAGGTGCCGCTGGAGTTTCTGCAGCGGATGATGCTGGTGCTCCTGCTGGTGGTGGTGGTGGTGCTGCTGGCGCTGTTGATGGCAATGGCCCTGCTGCCGCCTCGCCTTCTGATAAACCAGAGGAGGCAACGGCGAAGGTCCCAGCGGAGGAAGAAGCAGCTGCTGGTGAGGATGCTACTGCAAGTGCTGGAAGTGAATCAGCTATTAACAGGGATGGTTTATCAGATGATCTCAGATTAGCTACTTCTCTTGAAATGACACGTTCTGTCCTTTGGTTACGCTTTGGGCTCATAGTGTTGTGCTTGGCTTCGGTGCGCAGGGATGGAGAATAGGGCAAAGAGGAGTGGGGAAGCAAAAGACGCAGAAGCAGAGGAGGGTGAGAAGGAGAGAGATGCATCGAGTCTAGCTGCAACATCACTGCAACCAGGTGACTCTAGAAACGATCCTGCCCTCTCATTCACCCGCGACTCAGCTTGGTAAAATGGCTTATTACTCTGTGGTAACTGTGTGAGGTTGGGGATGCTTCTGAGCGTGGAGTTGACGGGTGCTACCCTACAATGACTTGTACAAACTCATTCTGTCATTCAATGGTAATCGGCTCCTGTGTGCACGCGTCTGGTAGGGAGTGTGCCTCTATCGGAGGTGAAGGTCCCCCGCCTGGAGGATGCCGGGCTGGAAGACACGGCACTGCCTCTATCCGACATCCAGGTTGGTGTCTCTAGCGTCGCTGGGCGGGCTGTGTTGTTTCTTGCGCGTGCAAGGCCGCCAGGAAGTGTCTGCTGGCAGGCTGCAGCTGATAGTGGAGGTGTTTAATTGGTTCCTCGTGGTTGCGTCGGTGCTGTATGCATGCATGTGCTGCTTGGGGCCGGCCACAACGGGGACAACGATGAATTTGATGCGACAACTGTGCAGGCTGCGTTTGAGATTGCAGCGAGAGAAAGGCCAACGGGTAAGCATGGAGAATCGAGACCTCTTCCTGCACCACAGCTGCTCTCCTGATGCCATTTATTGGTTGCGTCCCATGGGGTGCACAATACAGTGTCACACGGTGGGCATATTTGTGTATTTTTCACATCTCGTCTTTTCCTTGTGTATGTTCCCTGCAGAACCAAGTAATCGCAGCAACAGCAGTGACAGCTCAGCAGGCAGTGAGTGGCAAGTTGTGTCTAAAGATGATGCTTCTAAGGAGGACGGATTGAAGGCATCACAACCCTCTGCTCCTGCTCTTACAACAGCAGCTGAGGCGGCTGCCGCTCCTGCTTCTGACGTGTCAGAACCTGCAGCTCTGGTCTCCCAGCCTGCTGCTGAGCCTACAGTTGCCAGCGGTTCAAATACAACAAGTGCGGACGGCGAAGGGGCGAAGGAAGAAGGAAACGATAAAAAGAATGAGGCAGAGGCGAGGGGAGGGAAGGGCAAGAAGGAAGGTGGAGATGGAGAGGAGGATGAGGTAAGCCAGGGATGAGTTGTCTTTGTGGAACATGCATTGAGCAAGGGGGGGTTGTGAGTGGGCACGAAGGATGCATCGTGTGGTTGTTGAAGGTAAGCACTGGGTTTGTTCATTATACGCCTATCCATGCTGTGTGTGTGCCAATTGGTGAAAATCTTCCTAGTTCCCTTTGGCGCTTTGCGTGCACTTGGCTTGCAGGATTGGGGTGAATGGGAGTGAGGAGCGCCAGGAACCAAGGATTTGTATGAATACATAGTGCTATTGTTTTACTCAACGAGGATGTAGGCTCTTATCTTACGGTATGATGGCTAATTCTGTTAGAGTTTGACCCTGTTGGAATTCTGAGATCATGTGTACGTTATGAATCGAAGCAGTGTACTACGGACGATTTGTATATGCTGGTTCCAGGTAAAACCTCTAATAGAGACGTTGGCTCGGGTGATTGCCTGAATTCTCCACCAATCCAGTGCTTCAAGATTGTGGACGGTTGGGTCTCCCACTTGTGGAAAGAGGTCCTGCCAGATTCGTCGCGAGGTGCATCCGAAGCCAAAAAGCGTTTCGCTTCCAATCTCATGGATTTCAAGATAGGCTGCCAGTTTTGTCCTTTCTTAATCCGTGGCGCAACCTCGACCAAGCACGCGTTTTTTAGGGGAATCCTAGGAAGTCTCGAACCGACGTGACACGTTGTTTGCGGCCGGCTGAGTTCGTTGACACATCCACTCTTCAAGTGGTTGGTTTGATGGGATCAGGGTGCACCACATGACCCACTTCAACCTGGATGCATCCGTTGTACAAGTTATTTTCTTTCTCTCTCTTTTTTTTAGGTTAGGGCCGAAATGGGGGGCGGGGTGGGGGAAGGGTGGGAGGGGGTAGGGGTGGGCTTTGTGGGAGGAGAAGGTGGGGGGGTGGAGGGGCCACACACCATTTTTAAGGAGCACAACCTCTTTAATAAAAAAAAACGTGTATTTTTAACCGACCATTCCGGATGACGTCATCCCCGACGGTTCTGTAGAGGATTGGATTGCATGGTGACCTGGTGACATGGGCTTGCGTGAGTCCCCTGGTTGACATCTGTCTTTGCGCTCGATGCCTCTCATGCGAGCCGCGATGCAAATGTCCGTTTCAAACCAGCGACACAGGTCAGCGGAGCATCTTCCCCACCCGCTATCCACGTTCGGCCCCTGGCTCCCCTAGACTTTCGCGCCGACACCACACCATCGCGGAGCCATCACCTTCCTCCTCCACCCTCGTGCGCAACCACCGCTGGTTGGAGTTTGCGGGCCAATCACGCGTGCTCTCACCTTTTCGTCGTCGTGTCAGCAACTTTCGCGCCGACCTGTTGGAGATGACCCTCTGAGGTGGGGTTGGGCCAACCAAAGGAAGCTAACCCCTATTGAAACGAGTCCGTGCCCCCCATCGCAGTTTAAAAGCGTGGAACTTCGCACTCAACGCGCGCAACTTCGATACCTGAACGCTCGTCCGAACCAAATCAACATCCACTGGAATCATTTTCCTCGCCAGGCCCGATACTGTCAAACCTACACCCTGGTTTTTCCCGACGCCTCGGACTAACCCAGGATTTTTCTCCATCTTCTCCATCTCGCAGAGTCCAGCCCAACCCCGAACCCTCTTCCCCGCCCCTTCCTCCCCCCTCCTCCTCCCCTCCTTCCCCTCCCCCCGCCTGATCTCCTTCCGCCATCCGTTCATCAGCTTCCATCCCAGAGACCCAAATCTTCCTAGCAAAAACAATCCTCGAGCTGCTATAACAAACCCGTTCCCCACTTCATTTCGTTACCCAGCTTTTTTTGAGAGCGGTTCACCGCTCTTTCCTCCAGCTCTCTCGTAGCTCACCATCTCGCTCGTTACTACCTTCTAGCTTTGCCGAATTAATTCGCAAGGACCGTCTCTTCGACCATGGCTGATACGCGTCAAGTAGGATCGCTCTGGACTCCAGAGGTAGATTTCTATGAATCTGCAGAGTTTCCGAAGCTCATTTTTCCTCGTTAACGTACTTGGTGCTCGTTTCCGCTTGCCAAACTCACTAAAATAAACTCGAATCTGCTATTCGATTTTTGTTTCCGTGCAGGAAGACGTAATTCTTCTGCAGCACGTAGCTCGCTACGGCACCAAGCATTGGGGCTCTCTTCAATCCAGCTCAACCTTGCCTCACCGCGATCAGAAGGCGTGTTGTAACCGATTTATTCTTCTGAAGAGGTAATTTGACCATTAGGATCTTTCCAAATCCGACGATTCGTTCATCCTGTGAGCATAGACGTATCATCAACTCGCGCCGTCGCCCCGCAGGAAATTCTTCCAGGCTCGAGCCAAGGGTCAGAACCTGCAGACCATCTTTCCTTACATCAACGTCAACTCCCAGCCTCAAAGCCCCTCGGCGACGGTGGCCTCGTCGATGCTTCACGCTCCCGCATCCCTCTCTTCCACGGAAATCGCTCTCCGCGTGAACGCCTCGTCTCGCGTAATCTCCAAGCGCGCCGCAGCGCCTTCGCTTTCGAAGCCTGCTGTCCTTCAGTCCGCTCTCACCACGTACGAAAAGAATCTATTCGTTCTTCCTTTCCTTTCCTTTTTTTTGGTCTTTTTTTTCCAATTTTGCGGTGTTAACTTCAGCTCGCTCCCTTCCGCTCGTGATCTGATCGAGGTTTGGTTACATGTGTATTGGTCCACAATTCCGCAGTGTTAAAGATCAAGCCGCAAATGGCGGCGGATCCGTGTGGATGCCGAACCTCGTCGACGCGCAGTGCTCTCCGGCTGTTTCAGATCCCTCGTCTCCTCTCAGCGCATCTCACGGCGTGCTGTCCGTCCAGCAGCAGCAGCAGCAACTGCAGCAGCTGCTCGTCACGATCGGCCAATCAGCGAACGCCGTGAGCCAAGCCGCGATGCAGTTCGTCAACGCCACGTCGTCCGTCAACCCTACTTCGTAAGCACAGGTCCCTCAGTCTTTCAGTCGCTTTCTTGTGCCCTTTCGTATTGGTTCCTGACAAACTCTTCATTCGTATTCTCATGGCAGATTTCCCGCCAGCCACGTCAGCCATCAGCAGGCTCAGTCCGCAGCTTCCAATTCCGGCGCGGGCCAGCAGAGCGCAGCAGACGCGGTGGTGAACATGATTCTGCGCAAACTCGCCGGCGACGCGTCTGGCTTCGCGAAGCATCCAGTCGCCAGCGCAGCGGCGGCCAGCCCCGCTTCGTCCAAATCGGACGTCTCCGTCGAGCCCGCCTCCGCTGCTGCTCCCTCCGCTCCCCTGCTCGACGCCTCGTCCCGCCCCTCGTCCGCCCCCCCTCGCCGTCCGACTCTCCTCTCCGCGCCGGAGCGCGGGCCGTCCGCCGTCGTGCCGTCATCCGCAGGCTCTGTCCCCGCGGACTCTGGCGCGAGTCTGCAGCAGTTGGTGCCGGGATCGTCGGAGGAGACGGAGAGCGACGACGACATGCTGCTGGCGTACCTGTACGCGCAGGGCCACGCGCACGCCACGGCGCCGGAGGTACATGGGAAGGAGACAAGGGCGGACGGCGCAGTGGGGGAGGTCGAGAAGCAACAGGAGCAGCAGGTGCAGCAGGTGCAGAGGCAGGGGGAGGTGATGGCAATGGATGGAGCAGCGGACATGTCGCTGCTGCTGCAGCTGCACGACGAGGTGATGGCTCTCGAGAAGCTCGTTGCTGCTGGCGCGTCCTCCGCGCCCGCTGCTGCTGCTTCGCCTAGCACCGACCTCATCGCAGCCCCTGCGTCAGCCCTGGCGCCCCTCCCTCCGCGCGCTGTGAACGCGTCCTTCTCCTGTGCTGCTGCGGCGTCGGTTGCAGCTGTCCCTCTCCCCAGGAGCACCTCCCAGCGCCCTGACGCGTTTCTGGAGCAGATGTCGAGTGCGCCCGCGCGTATGCTGTTTGGGTTCAGCCCTGTGTATGACCTCATGGCGCCTGGCGCTTCCTGGAACGCTCATGCTGCTGCTGCTGGTGCCGCTGCCATACCTGCTGCTGGTGATGCGGCTGGATGGGACTTGAAGGAGCTGATTGATGCGTGGGCGTTCAACCTTGGTGCCTCTGCTGCCTTCTTGGCGTGACATGTGTACAGAGTGGCACCCGCGCACATTCAAAGACTGCAAGTGTTGCCGCGGTGATGGTGGTGGTGCTGGAGGCAGTGGTTTCTTTGCTCTGCCCATTGCACCCAGTGGGGATTCGGCCACCATGTCCTTTGCTCTGCCGGAGCTTTCTTTGCAAGGGCGTCTGCTCTTGTTCCGCTCTTCTGCTCTCTTCGCTTTTGTTTTCCTCTCTTTGATGTCTGCAGTGTCTAGCCTTTTTTGCCAGGGATAGCTGGCAGCTTAAGCAGTGGGGGAGGCAGGTGTTGCGGTGCAGCTTGCTCTGACGGCTTCTCGCCGTTTTTTTGCCGCAGAGGGTGAAGGCCCGCTGTGTGCATGCTGTTGCTGCTCCGTGCCCTGCCTCTCCCTGCTCTGTGTCTGTCAGTTTATGTTCCAGGCTCCTAGGAAGGCACTTTAGGCACTGCCTAGTCTGTGTGTTGCTTGGCAGACTGTATCATGTGTCTCTTGTCTTTTACATTGAACCTTTTGTTTTGAATTCATGAATGTCATCAAGTGAACACTTCACTGGAGTAGCCTAGGCGAACTACATCAGAGAGGAGCATGCAGCTTTGTCCACCTTTGTCCATGTTGCCTCCTTCAGTACTACGCGTCCTCACAGCAACATGTCATGCCAAGGCCGCGAGAACAGCACATTCCCCCGCTACTGCTGGTGCTCGCAGTGATTTGACGCTTCGTTGCACATTTCCCCCTCGGTTCTTAGTCCTGTCAAATTCTCTTCCATCCATCCTCACACTTCCCCATGACGCCATGGCTTCAGCGTGTCTATCCTCTCGCCGCGTCTTGCCATGCACTGTCGCCCGTACCTCCACCGCACTTCACCGCTATATCCGTTGCCGTCGTCAGATCGCCAATCCTCGTCAAATCGCGAGTCGCAACCGCATATGCCACCAATTCGGAGAATCCAGTAGTGCCAGTCCGAGCAAACTAGGTGCGTGCCTTAGCACTTCCTGGCAGCAATGGGGGGATTCACAGAAAACGTCCCAACAGCTTTTTCCGTCTCCGTCGTCGTCTGTTCCATCCATGATCCTGCCGTCGCTGCTACCACCTCATGTGCGATCGCCCGTACTGGCAGAATATAATCCGACAGGTCCGCTCAGACAAATACGTTGCGAATCGCAGAGCCTGTTCCCTGCTCTCTTCCTAGGTCGTAGCACACGTGGAATTCATATGGCTGACGTCAGCGCGAGATGCTCTGAGCGGCGTTACTCCCGACGCGCTGCTTCTGCTACCACCAGCGCTGGCGCTGATCTGCCGAGAGCCAGTGCTGAAGCGGTGGACGTGGCGAGGGCCGATGCTGATGTGGCGGAACATAACGGTGACGTGGCGAGCGCAGGGAGCACGAGGGAGGCGGCGGTGGCAGCGGGGCGCGGGAAGGGTCTGCTGGCGTTCTACGCGGACCACCACGTGGTGCCCCTGCCCGCCGGCCACCGCTTCCCCATGGACAAGTGCGCTCCGCGTCTCGAGTCGCCAGGAATGATGTTCGTTGGAAAGACGTGCTTGTATAGAGGATAATTCGACAACGCGGCAAGCGAGCGAGCAAGCGAGAGAGTGGGAGAGTGTGGCGGGCGGTCAGAGGTCCGGCATGCGTGGTGGTCACTCACGCCCATTCCCTGACTGCCATTCGCCCATCCCTGTGTGATGTGTGCCTGATTGTGCCTGATTGTGCCTGATTGTGCCTGATTGTGCCTGATTGTGCCTGATTGTGCCTGATTGTGCCTGATTGTGCCTGATTGTGCCTGATTGTGTGTTTGGCAGATACCGCAGCACTCGCCTTCTCCTGCAGTCAGATGCATCTCTAGATCGTATCCTGGCCGTCCATCCTGCACCTCTTGTCTCATGGGTGGAGCTTCAGCAGGTGCATGAGGAGGGGTAGGTGTGTGGGAGGGGTAGGTGTGTGGGAGGGGTAGGTGTGTGGGAGGGGTAGGTGTGTGGGAGGGGTAGGTGTGTGGGAGGGGTAGGTGTGTGGGAGGGGTAGGTGTGTGGGAGGGGTAGGTGTGTGGGAGGGGTAGGTGTGTGGGAGTGGTAGGTGTGTGGGAGGGGTAGGTGTGTGGGAGGGGTAGGTGTGTGGGAGGGGTAGGTGTGTGGGAGGGGTAGGTGTGTGGGAGGGGTAGGTGTGTGGGAGGGGTAGGTGTGTGGGAGGGGTAGGTGTGTGGGAGGGGTAGGTGTGTGGGAGGGGTAGGTGTGTGGGAGGGGTAGGTGTGTGGGAGTGGTAGGTGTGTGGGAGGGGTAGGTGTGTGGGAGGGGTAGGTGTGTGGGAGGGGTAGGTGTGTGGGAGGGGTAGGTGTGTGGGAGGGGTAGGTGTGTGGGAGGGGTAGGTGTGTGGGAGGGGTAGGTGTCTAGAGGGAGGCAGCGAGTGGGTCATGTGCAGGGAGGAGCGTATGGGCGTGTGTGACTGCCTGTACGTGGGTTGCTAATGCACTCTGTGGCCTCCATCCTCCTCTCTTCTCCCTAACCCCATCTCTGCATCTCCCCCCTCCTTTATCCTCCCAACCCCCGTCCCACCCCCCAGCTACTTGACGCGGCTATTCACACACGCGCTCTCAGAGCAGGAGCAGCGAGTGCTGGGCTTCCCCTGGTCGCCGCACCTGCTGCTGCGCTCACAGGCCTCGTGCGGGTATGCAGGCTGTGGCAGTGTGGGGATTCTATGAGGCGATGATCATGTGTGTGTCACTCTCGTGTGGGCCTGGGGAAGTTGGCAATGCCCGTTCCATTCGCCTCCACTCACCTTCTATCCAGCTTCCTCCACCCATCTGCTTTGAAAAATACCTCTCGCTCTCACAGTGTGACTCAAATTCATCCCAACCACCACCCGCTCGTTCCCTCTTCCCCGCCAGCGGCACTGTAGCAGCCACCCACGCGGTGCTGATGGGGCTCAGGCGGGCGGCGGGGGTGCTGGCGGGCGGCACACACCATGCGTTCCGGGGGCACGGGGAGGGCTTCTGTGAGTGAGTGGGGGTTGTCATGGGGAGGGGATATGGGAGTTGATGATGTTGGGGAGGAGAGTATGGAAGTTGGTCGGTGTGCCTGGTAAGTGAGGGAGGAGGGGGAATGGGAATGCTGTGATGCAAGGCACCACTCCTTGACTGTCCCACCTTCTATATTCTTCCACCATCCGCCTCTCTCCTCTCCTTTCCCTGATCTATCTCTTTTTCTATACTGCCTCTTCTCTCCCCATTCCTCTCCTTCTCCCCTCTCGTCCGCCCCAATCCCCCTGTCAGGTGTGTTCAACGACATAGCAGTGGCAGCGCTGGCAGCACTCACGCACCACCCCACCGTCTGCAATGCCGACCGGCCCATCCTGGCCCTTGATCTCGACGTGCACCAGGTGCGCACCGCCACCTTCAGCAGCAGCATGCACAGCCGTGTGTGTGTGGAGCGCCACACCACTCTCCTCTCTTTCTCTTGCTTCGACGCCCCCCCTCTTCCTCAGTCTCCACCACCGCACTCCCCGTTCCTCCTCGTCCCTCAGTGCCTCTCTCGTTTCGTGACTCATCCTCGTGACCGCCCTTAAGACCCCTCAATGAATCGTCCTGAGGCCTGCCCTCTCGCGCCTGTCTATCCTCTTGCACCACCCTGCCTTTGCACCCCCCCTTGGCAGGGCAACGGCACGGCGAGCATATTCGAGGGCGACCCGCGAGTGGTGACATTCTCAATGCACGGCGCCAACAACTACCCGTGGCGCTCCAAGCGCCGCTCCGACTACGATGTGGAGCTGCCCGACGACACGGGGGATGCTGCTTACCTCTCCCTGCTCGAACAGTGGCTTCCGAAGCTGTTTGAGCACCACCGGCCGAGCCTCGTCATGTTCCAGGTTAGGCAACAGGAACAGGCTTGGTGGATGGGTGGGAGAGTTGTGGCTGGTTATGGTTCATGTATCCGAAGATGAGATTCGTTGCCAGTGGGCTTCACTATGTTGGTAAATATATAATTTTTTTTGTGCCCTGTGTGTTATGCAGGCAGGGGTGGATGCTCTTAAAGAGGACAGTTTTGGCAGGCTTGCAATGACAAGTTTTGGCATGCTGCGGAGGAACAACATGGTATACAGTGCTTGTATCGACAACCACGTGCCGTTGGTCATCACCATGGGGGGCGGCTATTCACGACCTCCTGATGGTGAGAGTTTTTTTTGCTGCAGGGAGTGGTAGTTTCAGTGCTGATTGGATTGAAATGGTTTCATTTGCTTGACCTTTTGTTTTTTTATTTGTGTGCAGCTTCCATCGCGGCACATGCCGATGTGTATCGGTCAGCTGCATATAGATTCTCTCATTTGTGAAGCCGATTAAACAAGTTAGACGGTAGTTAAGGTAAGCTCAAACGCTAGTAGCCTTTGGCTGAGTTCTTTTAGTTGCATGGTTAGCTATTGTGATTCCATGTCAGGGAATATATATTCATGAATTAGAACTTCAACGTGGTGGTGAACGCTGTAACGCGTCTGGCCTGCACTGTTGGAGGGAACCGAGAACATTCACCGCGTGCCCTTCCTCGTCGCTTCTCGCTGCCCTCGAAGTTCCCAGCGAAGCATCATCGCCTGGCGCGCGCTGCCAGGCAGGCGGGACGGGAGTGTGGAATTTGCGCCCCCCCCTCACCGCCTGCCTGTTGTCGGCCCTGAGCCCACACATTTTGACTTGAACCGCATTTCACGAATTCCACACTCGTCTTTCCGTTTGCTCTTCTTGCCAGCTGCAATCCTCCGCGCTTCGTGCTTGCCTCTGCTCTCGCCTCGTACAACCTCGTCTATATACCGCACTGCGCGCCGATGGCTGCTGCTCCGCCTCTTACAGCTAGTCCGAGCAAGGCGGCGTCATCGTGCGCGGGCGGGGAGGTCGCGCCAGCCATCCCCGGCATGACGCTGAGCCCGCATAAGCCGACCTCCGCCGCCGCCGCCGCCGCCGCGGAAGGGCCGCTCTCCATCGTCATCTTCGGCGCGTCGGGCGACTTGGCGAAGAAGAAGACGTTCCCCGCGCTCTTTAATCTCTTCCAGCATGTGCGCGCGTAAATAGTGCTTCCGTTTTCGACGCGCTTTCCTCTGCGCCACGCGTTTTTCCGCCGCGTCTCTCCCGCTTTTGGTCGCCTCACGGATTCTTATCTCTCCCACACAACCCACCCCCCCAACCAACCCCCCCCGCTCCCCACACACCTTTTTCCCCCATCTCCTCCCCCGGTCGGCGCAGGGCTTTCTCCCCGCTGGAGAGATCCGCATCTTCGGATACGCGCGCTCGCCGATGACGGCGGAGCAGCTGCGCGAGAAAATCAAGGGGTGAGGGGGATGGTCGAGGAGAATGGTTATATCCACGGGAGGGTAGTTGCTGCTATGTTGCCGCGGTGCGTCCTTGCATGCCACGTGCTCGCGAGACATGCTGTCACAATGCTGGATTTAAGAGTGCCGCGTGCTGCTGTGTGTGTGCCTCACCTCACCTGCTCCCCTCCCCCACAGCTACCTCAAGCCCAAGGGCGACACGGCCCCCGCCCAGGACCCCGTTGCAGATTTCCTCAGCGTGGTGAGTGTCCCAAGCCCTGCACCGCCGTGCAACGCCGTGCAATGCCCTACACCGCCCTACACCGCCCTGCACCGCAGAGTGCCCCAAATTCTGCACCATGCCACGTTGCATGCACCTCCATTTGTGAATCGGTATGGTCCTTCCGCATCCCCGCCGCCTCCTTGCCCCCATCTTTCCCCCCCTCCCGTTAATCTTTCTCTTTCCCCACCCAACCGTCTCCGCTCCTCCCTCCCCTCTTTCTCTCCCCCCCTTGCCGCTGCGTCCCCAGGTGGAGTACATCCACGGCCCCTACGACGGCCGGGACGGCTACGCCAAGCTGCAGAAGGCCATGCTCGCATTCGAAAACACCACCGCTCCCACCGCCACCACCAGCGACAGTACCACTGGCACCACCAGCGACAGTACCACTGGCACCACCAGTGACAGCAGCAGCGGGGCGACGAGGCGGCTGTTCTATCTGGCGCTGCCGCCGTCGGTGTACCCGCCGGTGTGCGCGGAGGTGCGGTGGTACTGCATGAACGCGCGCGGGTGGACGCGCGTCATCGTGGAGAAGCCGTTTGGGCGCGACCTGGCGAGCGCGGAGGCGCTGAGCGGCGAGCTGGGGGCGCTGTTCAGCGAGGAGCAGATCTACCGCATCGACCACTACCTGGGGAAGGAGGTCGTCCAGAACCTGGTGCGCTCATAGGGGAAGGGGGAGGGGGGAAAGGGGGAAGGGGGGAGGGTTGTGGGGGGCCGAGCTGGGGGCGCTGTTCAGCGAGGAGCAGATCTACCGCATCGACCACTACCTGGGCAAGGAGGTCGTGCAGAACCTGGTGCGCTCCATGGGGGGGAGAGGGGGGAAGGGGGTGGAAGGAGGAGGGGGGAAGGGGAGGGATGTGGGGTGGGAGGACGCGGGGTATATGGTTGGATGTGGAAGGGGAGCGAGTGCAGCATGTATTGTGTGCATGCAGCTGCCATGTGCCATTACTTCTTCTCCCAGGCACATGGTTATGTCTTGTGCTGTTCGTCTCTGCCCTTCCCTCTTACGCTTCCCTTGCTCCCTCCTTCCCCTCCCACCAACCAGTTGGTGATGCGCTTTGCCAATCGCTTCTTCGTGCCGCTGTGGAACCGAGAAAATGTCGCCAACGTGCAGGTGGGTGGTGGGTGCACGCACGTGACACGTGGTATGCGTGTCAGCTGTGACTTGTGCGTGCACCTCATTTGCGCCACTCCTCTTCGCTCCCCCCACCACTCGCCCTTGCCTTCACGTTCCACCCTTCCCCACACTCGTTGCTTGCCTTACCACCACCACCTACTTGCCTATCTCCCCCTTGCCACTGCAGATTGTGTTCAGGGAGGACTTTGGCACGGAGGGCCGCGGAGGCTACTTTGACCAGTATGGGTGGGTGTGCCGTCCCTCCCCCCCCTGCCTCTCCTCTGCCCTCTCACTCGCGGCCTCCCACTGCTTCTTGCCATTTTAATTGCTCCTCTCACTGCTTCTTGTCATTGCAGCCATGTGGTGCTTCTGATATCTGACTCTGCGCTTCTGTCGTTTCCATCCCCTCGCTCCTCCTTCCCCTTGTGCAGCATCATTCGGGACATCATTCAGAACCATCTCATGCAGGTGCGCCGCCCCTCTTGCCCTCTCCATCGCATGCCATTCTCACCTGCCGCCCCTTTTTCCACTCGGGAAGCCAATTTAGGTGCTTCTTCTATCAGCCTTCCTTTACTCCCTTACGATACCAACTCCTCCTGCCCTCTTCCCCCCCTCTTCCCCCTGGTGCTGTGCCTCGTGGCGATGGAGAAGCCGGTGTCGGTACTGCCGGAGGACATTCGTGACGAGAAGGTGAAGGTGCTGCCAGCCTCACTGCATGCAATGCACCCCCTCTCAACCCCTCCCCCCCTCTCGCCACCCAGGTGCTGTGTCTCGTAGCAATGGAGAAGCCGGTGTCAGTGCAGCCAGAGGACATTCGGGACGAGAAGGTGAAGGTGCTGCGAGCCATACAGCCCATCAGGGAGGACGAGGTGGTGCTGGGGCAGTACGACGGCTACACCGATGACCCCACCGTGCCCGATGGCTCCCACACGCCCACCTTCGCGTCGCTTGTGCTGCGCATCAAGAACGAGCGCTGGGATGGTGAGAGGGAGGTTGGGGATGTGTGGTGCGCCGGGATTCCGTGCAGTGCGCACTGTGCACTCTGGCTAGTCCTGTGGGATGTGTGGGCGGACCTTGTACCATTGCCACGTTTGAGCCATGCACTCTCACTTACTGTCTTCCCCCGCCACCAATCCATTACCGCCTATGGGGTGAGCAGGGGTGCCGTTCATAATGAAGGCGGGCAAGGCGTTGGAGTCACGCAAGGCGGAGATCCGAGTGCAGTTCCATGATGTGCCGGGCGACATCTTTGGCTGTGAGCTCGCTTGCACTCCCTGCCTCCCATTCTGTCCGCATCCTTTCCTTTGCACTTGTCCGCATGCTCTTCATTTCGTCCTTATTCTCCACAGCTCGATCGGTGTAGAGTTGTCTTATGCCTCTGTTCCTCCCTGCTCGCGCCTCCCGTCCCTTGCAACGGTGGTGTTGCAGGTGGGCGGAACTCGCGGGACGAGTTTGTGATGCGCCTGCAGCCATCAGAAGCCATGTACATGAAGCTCACGGTGAGTCAACGAACGTGCGAGGGAAGAGGTGTGTGTGAGAGGGGCGGCTGTTTATCACATGATTTTGCTAGGATGGTGCAAATTCAAAGTCTACGATGAGATGGGACTCACAGTATGGTGACTGGTATGGTGTGCTGCATGGTGCATGGCATGGTGTGCTGCATGGTGCATGGCATGGTGGCAGGTGAAGAAGCCGGGGTTGGAGATGGCAGCGACGATGAGTGAGTTGGATCTGAGCTACAGCCAGCGCTACTCAGGAGTGGTCATCCCCGAGGCCTACGAGCGCCTCATCCTCGACAGGTCAGCACACACAGGCCATGCTGCTATCGTTCATGCACTCCTGTGTGGTGTCTACCTGCCGTGTCGTGTCGGCCATCGCACGCTCGTGGTTGGCTGTTTTGCTGAGCCCACCTTCCCGTGTTTGGCATGTGTTTCCCCCCCCCATGCATCCCCTTGCAGCATCAATGGCGACCAGCAGCACTTTGTGCGCCGAGACGAGCTCAAGGTATGGCGATCTCAGGGAGGATACTCAGACTCAAATCCTCTTCACACGTTTAAAAGTTTGGCCTCATTTGCTGTACGTCTGGCAGGAAGGCTGCATAGGTGCACCCTTTGTCCTCGGCCATCCCTCCCACCTCTGTGACCCTCTCCCGTTCCTCCCCTCACAGGCGGCGTGGGAGATCTTCACGCCGCTGCTGCACCGCATCGATCAGGGCGCCCTCCCCCCGCACCCTTACAAACAAGGCAGCCGGGGCCCCGATCACGCGGACGAGCTGGCGGAGCGCGTGGGGTACCGCCGCACTCAGGGGTACTGCTGGATTCCGCCGACCCTCGCGGAATAGAATGGCGACGAGAATTGCTTCTATGCACTATCCACATTCCAATACAATCATTTTGTAGTCACTGCATGGTAATAGACATTGATGTAGACCCATGGGTACTTGTGAATTGTCCATGTCCTTTTGCAAAATTGTATTTTGAATAAATCTTATACGAGATTACATACATCTGGCAATACATCGGCAACACTTCCACCACATTACGCTTACACAAGGGAAAGTCGTTGCGAACAGCTTCGCCCAGCCCACGTCTTGAATAAGCACGCGGCCCTGCAGAGATAGGTAACCACGAGGGGTGAGTAATCGAGCAATCACAACCTTTGCAGTACAAACACGGGTGCTACCAACAAGGTCCACAAAGGAAAGACCACGAAGAAGCCGCCATAGCTATCGGAAGGAAATGTCCCGGACGACAGGTCAACAAGAGCACACGGGAAGGGTGCACTAATTGGTTTAAAGCACGGGCTATTCCGATCTCCGCTCGACAAATGACACTTCCCAGGCATCGAAAGGCCAGGCAAGCAACGCCTCGCCAAGCGGGTAAGGAGGAAGAACGGGGAGTTCAGGGTACAGCCCACGTACTTGTCATGAGGTTGTATTCTGGAACGCTTGATGTCTATGCGGGGAACCCTTCGCCTGAGCACACACAACAAACTCACAGCACTTGGTCGTGGAAAAAACGAAACAAGAACAAGCATGAACGAAAGATCGCAAGCGTCAGGATGAAGTCTGCCAATGTATTGGGGTCAGGCAATGGCGCAGGCCTAGAGTGAAACAGCAGAGGTCATGAGAGGCACCTAAATAGTAGGGACGAGCACTATGAGCCAAACCCAGAGCTCTCCAAAGGAATTGTAGGTGGTGCGGCCGTGGTGAGCCGAGATGAGGTGGTGAGCCACCTGCGGTAACCAGGCGAGCATCGCTCACTCGCCCACTGACTGTCGCCCAGTTTCGTTGATTCACCGAGATAACAACATACCTCTGGCAAGAAATCTGGTACACGAGCAACTCACTATCTGTCATGTCTATCTAGGTTGCCAACGTTTTCCTTCCAATTACAATAACATCCTTCTAATACCTTTTCTACTGGAAGACAGCTTTCAAGAAATTGCAACCTAGCTATCACCCTTATACAGCAAATTATGTTGCAGGTTCGACCCATCGTTTGTTTTATTTATCCTAACCATATTCTCCGTGTGTTCCTGTTCATTCCCTACACAATCTGACAACCTAAACACTGGAATGCTCGTCACAACTGCTGGCGGCAGCATCTGCCAGGAATTTTCTCCTTGCGCTCCAATCCCTCCTCTCGACAATAGCGTAGGCTGCACAGCCCCTGCCGCGCGTGACATGGAGAATGGTTGACCCCCTTCGACTTGCCAATCCGTGTCCCTCGCCACCACAGCCTGAGAGCTGGCTTCACAGGCTGCAGTACTCAAGCTGGGACTGAATCGCGAGGGCTCACCGGGGGTTAATTGGTCATGGAAGAAAGGGGAGAAGTGCAGCCCTGACTCAATCACACTGGCAGGACTTTCCTGTGGAGCTGCACGCATGGTGCATGAGCCAGCAGCGGACAATTCAGCTGCAGACACAGCACCAGTCACGGCTGGGGATTGTGCCAATGGTGCTCCAGCCAGGACCCCATTTTGTGCACTGCTTGCAGGGTGCACGTCACCATCAACCTCCAGCATCGCATGCATTGGTGCCGATGTGGCAGTGTCCTCCAAATCCGGATCAGAGATCACTGCTCCATCCAGCATTGTTCCTGTGTCTCTGTGCTGTCTCCTCCCCAAGTCACAGTGAGCTCGAGGCGGAAGCTGAGACCCATCAGGCGGGAGGGGACACGCCCCGGTTCCGCTATTTCTGCTGCTTCGGCTGCTCCTACTTCTGGCAACAGAGGGGTTGCCATTCCCATTGCTGCGCCGACTGCTGGCAGCAGATTGATCTCGTCTGCTGTCTCTGCTGCTCCTGCTGCGAGTGACCTGCGAGCTATCCATGAGAGAGGACCCTGGGGGGAAGCAGGGCGAGGTGCTGGCGCTACCAGGTGGGGTGGTGGCGAGTGCAGGCAGGGTGGGTGCACTGGAGTCACACCTGGGGCTGTGGGGTCCCAAGGAGGAATCGGGGTTGGAATCAGGTGGCATGAGGGAGCCGCCCTGCTCTTGCACACAAGGCGATGCCATGCACAGTGTATCCAGCGACAGCAGAGACGCAAACGACGGTTGCTTCTGGTCGGCGTTGCTTGTCTGTTGTGCGCGGCGCAGCAGCTCGACGACAGTGCTCATGGAGGGGCGGGCGGCGGGGTCGCTGTGGACGCAGGCATTGGCGAGTGTGGCGACAGTGTGCAGCGCAGCAGGGGGGGGCGGTGAAGGGCAGGCGAGCAGGCGCGGGTCCAGCAGGTGGAGGTAGCGGGAGGGCTTTGAGAGCAGTGGACGCGCCTGCAGTGATCATGGGGCAGGGCACAGGGCGGATTGAGGGAGGGGAAGTGGGATCGGGAGCAATAGAAAGAGGGAGAGGGGGACAAGGAAGAGGTAGGGTGAGGATTTTGAGGGGAAGAGAGGAGAATATCTACTGGATGAGAATGTTAACAGCTACGATGCAACAGGAGAAGTAACAAACACTCGCCCTGAGCACACAGTGCACCGGCAGGACTCACCCAGAGCACGAGGCTTTCCTGGCCGAGTGGCCTCGAGGTGTCAACGGCCTTGCGGCCCGACAGCAGCTCCAGCAGCACCACCCCGAAGCTGTACACGTCGCTGGGCACCATCAGATGCCCCGTCATTGCGTACTCCGGCGCCACGTACCTGCATGGGGGGAACGGGTGGGTGAGGGCGGAGGGGGTGGGTGGAGGAGGGGGGACAGAAAAGGGAGGAGGGTGACGAGGAGGGTTGGCATGAGAAATGGTGCTGATCAGAAGACGGCCACACGTTGGGACTTGCTTCCATCGATCATGTGCAAGATTCAACCACAGCCGACCCGCCACTCACCCAAAGGTGCCCATGACGCGGGTGGACACGTGCTCATCCGCCCCCTGCGGCGCCGCCTTGGCGAGCCCAAAGTCAGCGAGCTTGGGGCTCATGCGCGCATCCAGCAGGATGTTGGACGGCTTTAAGTCGCGGTGAATCACCGCTGGCTGCGACCCCTCGTGTAGATACGCCAGCCCCCTCGCCGCGCCCACTGCTATGCTGACCCGCGCGGGCCAGTCGAGGAAGGCGTGGTGGGAGTGCGGCCCGTGCAGCCACGAGTGCAGACTGCCGTTCGGCAGCAGCTCGTAGCACAGCATGTGCTCGCCCGGTGCTACACAGTAGCCGAGAAGCTTAACTAAGTGGCGGTGGTGCAAGCGTGACAGAACTTCCACCTCCACTAGGAACTCCCTGTCGCCCTGCCGCCCGCCCCGGTCCATCCTCTTTATTGCCACTTCGATAGGAGCAGCAGGGGGGGAGGAGGAGGTGGAGTGCGGTTGGGGGGGGATGGTGCCGCGGTAGACTCGCCCGAAGCCGCCCTCGCCCAGGACTGACGACTCGTGGAAGCTGCAGGAGGGACGGGGAGGGACAGGAGAAGGGGGAGGCGAAAGGGAGGAAGAGATGGAGTGGAGTGGAGGGGGTGGGGGGTTTGAGGAGTGAGTGATTAGAGGGAGAAGTTTGGTCAGGCCAGGATGAGAGGGCGAATAGGAGAGAGAGAATGGGAGAGAGGAAGGAGATGAGAAGCAAAGGAGTCGTACTTGTTGGTGGCGAGAGCCATTTCTTGGAGGGAGAACTCCCTCACCCCGGACAGCCCACCCAATCCTCCCTTTCCGCTGCCCCCTGCAACTCCCCCATCGCTGTTGCCCTCGCTGCCCCGCCCACAACCCAGCCCTGCAGCGGGCAGTGCAGCCGCGGATACAGCAGCACGCACACACTCGTCTCCAGGCTCTGCCCTTGTGTCCGCTCCGTCATCGCGTGCACCCATCTTACTGTACGCCCCTGCTGCCCCTGCCGTGAATCCAGCTGTGCTTGACGCGAGACAGCAATTTGCATAGGCATCCCCATCCTCATCCGAATGTGCAGGATGGATTGGGTGCTGCAGGTCGCTGCTTGACCCCTTGCCCTTGATCAGCACCTCTGGCTCCGCTGCACATGTGAGGACGGGGAGTGGGAGAGGGGGAGAGATGGGCGTGCGTGGGATTCTGGACATACAAGCAGCATGGAAAGCACAGTTATAGCACAGGAAGGAGTTGAGTCTCCAGACAAGACCATGCAGGGGATAGCAAGTGCATGCGGGCACATTGCATGTGACGTACTTGGATCAACGGTGCGGCGAGGCATCCAAGTGCAGTAGAGCAGGGCACCCACGCCCACTGCAGTTACTGCCACCGCACCCACCACCAGCAGCACTACCATGTTCACGCTCATCCCCTGCTGCTCGCTCCCATTCTCCCCTGCACTGTTCTCCCCTGCACTGTTTCCGCCTGCCTGTGCCTGTGCGCCCACCCCTCCCGTGGCAGTGCCAGAGCCAAGGCTATTGCTACTGGAGCCACTGTAATTGGCTACCCCCCCCGGGCTAGGGCTGCTTCCTCCTTGGCTGCTCGTGCTGTTGCTGCTGCTGCTGCTGCTGCTGCTGCTGCCACTCGCACTGTCAACGACATTGCTGTTACCACTGGCATCGCTGGTGGTGTAGCCACCACCACCACCACCGCCACCGCTGCTGCTGCCGCTGTTGCCTGGGGCTGGTGGGGCCGGAACGGGCGGTGGCGACGGCGCGGGCAGGGAGGGAGGCGCAAGGGGCGGCAGCAGCTGAGTGAGGGCCACAAGCGAGTACTCCCCGTACAGCCTGGCATCCAGGTGTATCTCGTGCCGCCTCATCCGTGAGTCGACCTGCGCCAGGAAGCTTCTGGGGAAGGTGGGCTGATAGCGCGGGAGGAGCAGCAGAGTGACGATGGCGGCGGTGTGGTCGGTGCGGGAGAGGGAGCGGCGCAGGATGCACGACTCGGGCAGGCGCAGCTGCTCCGCCAGGTCCTGACACGCGGGCGAGAGAGGGGGGCGCGGGGAGGCGTGAGAAGGCAGGCGGGTGAGCGGATGAGTGTTACATGCATGTGCTATGCAACAATTGCCAACAGACGACCGTGACACGGCGACCGTTAGATGGCGACCCTCAGATGGCGACCGTCAGATGGCGACCGTCAGATGGCGACCGTCACATGGCAACCGTCAGATGGCGACCGTCACATGGCGACCGTCACATGGCGACCGTCACATGGCGACCGTCACATGGCAAGCGTCACATGGCAAGCGTCACATGGCAAGCGGCATGGAAGCAACGTACGTGGACGAAGGATGCGAAGTGCATCTCCACGGCCGTGGCGTTGGACAGCCGCATCGCCAGCTCCGCGGGGTGCACGCACGCGCACCGCCCCTCCGTCGCGCTCGGACTCAGCGCCTCCCACTCCCGCTGCGAGCACGCCCCCGCGCACACCACTGGCGGAGGCGAAGGCGCAGACGGAGGCGATGGGGAATTTCCGCTTTCCCCGTCCTCTGACTCGTCGTCCGCGTGTCCGGGGTCGGCGTTGGTGCGGTTAATCGGCGCAGCGCCGTCCAACTGCTCCGAGTCCCCTGGGTCATCCTCCTCATCCACACTGTCAATCTCGCTCTCTTCGGCTTCCGGCAGAGGAGATTCCTGACTCGGGTGCTCTGCTCCGTCGCTGTCATCGTCATCGTCATCGTCATCCTGAATGTGTACGTCACGGCTCGAATACGGGCTGCGATTTGCCGGTCGAGTGACGGGGAGACGAATAGCGGCTGGAGAATGGAGGGGGGTGAGCGGAGAGGGGATAACGATCAAGTACCAGACACGGATGCAATGAGGGTAAGGGGAACGAAAAGTGTGGCGGAGAACAGCAGCAGGTGAAGGCAAGGCCAAGTAGGCTGGGAATTCGGTACAGGCGAGTGTCTTTATCCCTGCTCTGCTTGTCAAGCCCGGCCAACCACTCTGGTCTCCGGAAACGAGGGGCTCACCTGTTGGGATAGCGGTGATTATAGCGGTTACGATCGCAGTCAGAATGGTTAGGTGAACAAATACTGCGGGGGCCATGCGAAACCGTGAAGGTTGAGATCTCGGCGACCGTGGCCACGGGAGATGTTGGATTAACACCATTGATTATGCGCGGACATGCGAGTGACTCGATAAAGAATACGAACAGTCTTACTACAAGCAGACCGAACAACTATCAGCTGAAAAAAAAGGCTTCGGCTAATGATACGCCTCTACATTATGGCATTAGATTGTCGGGCTCTGCTCCTACTGGTATCCAGGGTACGAATCCAGTGAATCATGTGTGTTGAAAAGTCAAAACGGTCTTTCAACGAGTGATCGGAAATTTGAAGCAGTTCCTGCTCTCGAGTGATACAGGACTGAAACGAGCAGCATTTTGAATACCTCACTACATCGCCTGATGAAGCATTCCTGACTTCTAATAAGTCACCTGAATCACTACCTTTCATAAACACATACCGCGACTAACGAGAATCAGTCTTTCGCCACAACGCGAGACGCGTCAGGCGACTGACGTGCAGGGAACAAGCAGCCAGGAAATGCTGGCAGCAGGAGAGAGATGTGGTGAGCGAGAACGAGGGTTGCTCAGCGATGGCTGGCTCGCCTTGGGAATTTCGGTGGCTGTGTTGGCTGATGAGCAGCCTAACTTCTTCTGGGTAACTTATCCAGTTCACAGATGAATATCCTGGAAACGCTAAACGCTAAGCCCACCATGAGGAACATGGAGACGCGGAAGTGTAAAATATGGTCGGAGCTGCGTGGGTCGTGTTTTGTCCCGTCAAACTCCAAGGCTGGTCACCCTTCAGAACGGGCAGGAACTGGTATCATGTGCCATTCAATCCTTTTCCCAAGGGATGGTTGGCGGAAAAAGTCCGTGAGCGCCCTTCCCCCACCAATCCTCGCAGGACGGGGGAGAGAGAAGCTACCCTTCCCCAATCTTGCCAAATTGTGTCGCATCGCATGCTCGGCATGCACTGGCGCAGGAAAACGATCGCTTTTGTTTGTCGCATAGATGGAACAGCAGCCAACTTCATACATACTCAGATTAGTCCCGAGCGGGATCTCAGGTGTAATCAGCCTGGATATTCTCAACTTTGATTGGTCGTCGCTGTTTAGTCACATTTTTTACGCTGGTCGAAATCTTTAAGAAGTGACAAAAACAAAACTATATAGTTTACCCTCCCGACCTGGAATTGATAAATTAAAGTACGTAAATTTACGATGGGGCAGAAAAACTAAACCCCTATAGAATCTGGACGAATTTTCGGGAGGGATCAACCCTAAACACGGGAAAGGGCATTGTTTTTAGGGTTGATGCCTCCCGAGTCGCATCCCATTCCGATTAAGTGTTATTTAAAGGGTGCAATATATTTCTCCTGAAGTAGGCGGCTTCCCGTAGTTAGGGTTGATCTGTCTCAAAATTCATCTAGGTTCGCTACAAGTTTTTTTTTCAGGTGCTGCATTCTCTGTAGTGACTGTATTCAGAACACAACAAGAAACACTACTATATCGCGAAACTGTGTTTCTGTTGGTGATTACACCTGAGAACCCGCTCGGGAATAATTTGAGTATCTATGATATTGGCCGATAGAACAGCGAGGCGCGTAGGCGCTTGCGACTGAAGACTTGACCAGTAGGACCGTGTGACCAATAGGATGCAAGGAACGAGGGGCTGAGCCTCACAACTGGCGAGCCAGGAAACACCAGAGAAGCAACCGAGTCCAAACTAGACCTCGCGCGACGCTCGCAGAATCAGCCTCGTTTCATGGAAAGAAAAAAGGGGAAAAAAATACAACCTTATACATACAATGATAAGCCACAAACTATCCAGCTCTGCTATATACGCGCTCCAAGTCCAAGACCCTTGGGTCGTAGTTCAGCTTGCACAGGCTCGGAAATGCCCTGCTTGTCCTTCCCAAGGCCAGAGCCAATGCGGAAACCCATTTGTGCCATCATGCGCGACCCAAACCCCCTCGTGTGCGCCTCAAAACTTGCAAAATCCGCTGCCACACCACAGCCACCCACACTGCTCCTGTCAACCCTACCTTCTTCCCTTCCTCCCCTTTCTCTCCTCCCTCCGCTACCGCTGCCACCTTGCCCTCGTCGGCCTCCTCTTGCCTCTCCGTTACCCTGCCTGCCACTCTTTGCCCCACCTTTGCTCTGAAGAGTCCTTCTCTCCTGACCAATGGCCACACCAGCGACCTGTCCCTGCAAGGCAACAGAGGCCCCTACACTGGCTGCAGCGGCAGCATCCGCTGCGTTTGTTGTGACACCCGCCACACTGCCTGTAGGGCTCGCACCAGAGGACGCACCCACACCCGTTTCTGCACCTTCCTCACTCATCAGAACCCCCAAAACCTCCTCTGCTTCTGAGCCCGACTGCTGCACGTTCTGTACAGTCACGCTCACCTCAGTCACCTCCTTGTCGCCCCCGTCTGTTACAAGCACATCGGTGGCCATGATACCCCGTGACACAAACACCACAGGGTTCGATGCATACCCCTGCCTCCCTGAACCACTTCCCGCTCTCCCCTCCCGCACACCCCGCCTCCCCTTACCCCCCCCAGCTTGCACCAGCCCTCCGCCCTTCCTCCGCCACAGAGTCTCCTCCTCTCCGCTAAGCCCTCTCTCCCTTCCCCTCCCCCCTTCCCCTCCTGCGCCTTCTTCTGTGCTGCTTTGTCCCTCTGCAAGCGCTCCCCCAGTGCCTGCATCAGCCCCGCCTGGGCCTGCGCCCTCCGCTGCTTGCGTGACACACGACTCGCTTCACCCGGCACAAGCCACTCCTCCTCCTCCAACTCCAGAAACGCATCTTCCTCCTCACTGCTTCCCTCACCCTCCCCACCCTCCTCACTCTCAGCACTCCCATCAATCTCCCCATCCTCCTCGCTCCCATCACTCTCTTCACTCTCTTCGCTATCCTCCTCCCCACTCTCATCATCTTCATCCTCCTCCTCCTCCTCCTCCGACTCCTCCTCCTCCTCATCCTCGTTCTCATCACTGTCATCATCATCACCCATCATGAGCATCATCTCCTCCATCTCAGCGATTCCTCGCTCCACATCCATGTCATCCATGTACTGAGCCAGCCGCCGCTCTCTGTAGTCCCCACCCTTCCTCCTCACCCCCCGCTGCCCCGGCCCGCTGCTCGCATCACCACACTCTGCGGCAGCGGCTCTTGCAAGGTTGAAGCGCCCGAGAATCTGGAAGGCAGGGACGAAAGGGAGGCGCAGAGGTGGCAGTCGTGGTTCCAGAGAGAATTGGGAAAACACGCAAGGGATGCAGCGAACATAGGGTAGGAAAACAGCAGTGCCCAGCAAGGCCCAACAAACTGCCAACAAGAGGCCCTCAGAATGAGCAGCAGACCTCTTCCAATCGAGTCATGTCATCTCCCTGTGGCACTGCTGTGTGCCGCCCAGACCGAAAGAGCAGCATCCTGAAGGGCAAGACGGAAAAAGCCAAACATGTGCAAGGCATCATGGAGAGGGGCACAAAGAGAGAGAATAAAGGTCGTGAGAAGAGGTGCTGGGAGAGAGGTGGAGGGGAGGAAGCAGGCATGAGACACAAGCATGCAAGGCGAGGCGAAGGAGGCGATGAGCAAGCAGTGAAGAGGGAGTGAACGGAGAGAAAGGCAGTTGCACATACTTTCTCTTGCCACTCTGCTGCACCGTGGTGGTCAGGCGATATGAGCGCGCCATGCCTTGTACCTGCGGGATGTGAACGGAGGAGATGGTGGATGGACATTTGTGAGATGACTGCATGCAAGCAACCAACCATGTGTGCATAAAATACTAGCATAACGCCATCCTTACAGTGCTGGCATGCACATGTGCACACACGCAAACATGAACATGTGACCCTTGCTGTCTGGTGGTGCAGGTGATGAGCAACGCACCATGGAGAACTGGTGCTGTGTCAATGGAGGCGACGCAAAGACGTCCACACGGCCCACCGCCACCTGCTGCATGCCCTGCTCACGAACACGGCAAGGGCAGGCCCAGGGCGCAAGTGGGAAGAGTTGGAAACTAGATGCCTAGAGACAGGGTACGACCCGACACACTGTGCGCAGCAGCGTCAGGTTGATTCTAGGCAGGCGCACTCCCCATGGCAGCTCACCTGGTTGAGGTGCATGAGGTCCACGTCAGCAGCATCGGGGCTGAATCCCACAGCTCGCTGCATGCGCTTCAGCTCCCTCGCCTGCTTCCTGCGCCCCTTCTTGCTGCCCGCCGCTGCCAGCGGCGAGCAGGGGGGGGGAAGGATGGAGAGGAAGGGAGGAATTGAAGGGGAGAAAGGGGAGGATACAGGTAAAAGAGAGGGCTTTCAAGGCACGCAGCCCAACTACTTGGCCAATCAGAGCGACCCATCTTCCATTGCTTCCCCCCTCCCCTAGTCTCAGAATTTATTTCCTCCCTCATCGCCTTCCCCCCCAGCAACACTCTGACCCATCCCCCACACACTGATGCACCCCCCACCTTTTGCCGCCTTCTTGGTTTGCTTCGCCAGGGCCCTCTTTGCCTTCCTTGCAGCCTTCTTTGACCCGCGCCCCATCCCTCCCCTGCCGCTACTGCCCTCCGCACCCCCTGCTCCTGCTCCTTCTCCTTCCCCAGCTCCCCCCTTTCCTGCTCCTGCTTGCCCTGCCCTCCCTCTCCCTGCCACTCCTCCTCTCCCCGCCCCCCCTCCTCTCCCTGCTCCCACTCCCCTCGCTGCCCGCCCTCTGCCGCGTGTCGGGGCTGCAGTGCCCCGTGCAACAGGAGCAGCAGAGGCGGGGCAGGGGGGAGCAGGAGCAGCAGAGGCGGGGCAGGGGGGAGCAGGAGCAGCAGAGGCGGGGCAGGGGGGAGCAGGAGCAGCAGAGGCGGGGCAGGGGGGAGCAGGAGCAGCAGAGGCGGGGAAGGGGGGAGCAGGAGCAGCAGAGGCGGGGCAGGGGGGAGCAGGAGCAGCAGAGGCGGGGCAGGGGGGAGCAGGAGCAGCAGAGGGGGCGCCCTTGCCCTTGCCCTTGCCCTTGCCCTTGCCCTTGGCTGTCTGGCGGCGAGCCAGCTCCCTCT